GGGGCTGCCCTGGTAGAGAGAGGCCACCCCCTCCATCCTCCTGGGCCGGGGCTGCCCTGGTAGAGTGAGCTCCACCTTACCCTGTCCACACACAGGTACTTGGGCACTGGGAGGAGCCCACACGGGGTGGCCATCCTGGGGCCGGAGAATGCTGAGATTGCTCAGGACCCGTCCTGGACCATCAGGTAGCCACGTGGCCCTGCCCCTGGAGCCCAGCGGAGCCCACACTGCCTCTTAAAACAAAGCCTCTGAGCTACACTTAATCGGAAAGCTCGGGCACGTTGCTGCTCTTTCCAAACATCTTAACATCATCCCTGAAATTTTGCCGAAGGTTTTAACTGGCAAGTCAGCCAACAGCTTCTGTGTCTTAAAGAAGGAAACGGGGTGGCCGTGAAGTTGACATAATCATGCACAGTAAAGATCCATAACTCAGCCTCGTGAACCTTTCTGGTGGCCCGAATGCTTATTTTGTCTTTATCCTGTATTTATTTAAAAATAAAGGGCAACTCCAGCTGTGCTTTTGTCGTCATTTTAAGTGACATTTGCTGAAGTGTGGTGTATGTTAGAGCCCTTATTACAGAACAAAAGTCTGAAATGAGCACCTGTGGGAGGCTGTCCAGCACTTGCCCTGGCCCAGAAGGCTCAGTGACACTCGGGCCCTGTGGAGCTTTCCTGACAGACACAGTGGGCAGGTGGCTGCAGTCAGGGGACTGACTGCCTCAGCTTTCCTGACAGACACAGTGGGCAGGTGGCTGCAGTCAGGGGACTGACTGCCTCAGCTTTCCCTTCATTGCTGAATCCTCAGTTTCCCAAACTTTAAAAATCATCCCCTCTCTGGGACACAGAGGTCTGGGTGTCACCTGTTGGAAGCTGGGTCTGAGGGAAGAGGTGGGAACACAGGGCACCCAGGCGTCATTGCCCCATACATGTGTGTCTGCAGGTACAGGCTGTCCTGGCACCAGAACCCTCTGGGGCTCCAACCCAGGCCCAGGATGTTGAGTGGTTTGGAGGAGAAGCCAGGTGTCAGACTCCTAAAACCCCCTTGGTGATCTTAAGCTGCAGATGGGGCTGGATGCAGGTGCCTGTGGGCGCCCTCCTCTCTCTCACCGTAGAGCCCACAGGCACAGATGTGAGTGGCCTTACCCTTCAACAGGGACACTGCTGTCACCACTGGCCTCAGGCCCAACGGCCGGCCCCCTGCTTGGTGCAGTGGTGGAGCTCCAGGGAGGGACAGTTGGTGTTGGCGTCACACTGGTGTTTGCTCCTTGTCAGAACACTGTCTCTGTTCTCCTTTGACGATGTGCCCAGTTCAGTTATCCCTATAAAAATATTTTGCTGATCTTTGCCCTCAAAACTGCCAAGAAAACCTTTAATAGCCACCCAGAGATCTTAAGGTTTTGAACTCCACTTTAAAAAGAAAAACAGCACAGCTGGAGTTTTAGCCAAAAGTTTAATTCTACGAGACACACAACAGTTTACAGCATGGCAGGAACAGCAGACGTTTTACGCTGGGCGAGTGGGGACGGGGGCCCTCGCAGGCTGGGCAGGAACGTCAGTGCTTGTCGACAATACTTGCATAAAGTGCTGATAAATAACTTAAGTGTTACAAAAAGGACGGTCTCCAGTGAGCCTGAGGCCTCAGGGGCGGGCGCGTGGTCCAGGCAGCAGCTCTAGGTCGGGCGGCAGCTGGGGTCAGATGGCCGTGGTCTCTATGCGCTGCACGTGCTCCAGCTGGCCCGCGTCCGACACGTCATAGGTCGCCTGGTACTTGGCCAGGATCTTCATGAGCGGCCGCAGCTTCAGCCACCACTGCTCCTTGGGAATCCTGTGCCTGGGGGGAGGGGACAGCTGTGAGCTGTGTTGGGACAGGGGCAGGGACAGCCCTGCTGCAGACACGGGCTCTGTGATGTCCGTGAGTGAGCCAGAGAAGGAAGCAGTCCTCGGGGATGCCAAGCATACTTTCTCCTTTCCAAGCCTTCTGCCCTGCTCCAGAAGTCTAGTGTTTTTCACTGCGCCTCAGGGAGGCTGATGGCGCCTCACAGCCCAACCGAGCTGCAGCGGCTGCCACGGACCTGCCCCCGGGGCCCGTCCCTCCCTGGACAGCAGGACTCTGCGAGTTTTGTTCACTTACTCGAAATCCGTTTCCTCCTTCAGATCTGCCACAGGTTGGAAAAGGACATTTCTTTTGCTTATTCCCAGTACACAAACAGAATCATTGGAATAAAATTTTTTTCCTACAAAAATTAAAAAGAGGAGAGGGCAAAGATCAGCAAAACCAACAACTCGCGGCACGCATCAGGCACAGAGCAGTACAGGAAGAAAAAAAGGGGAGAAGGGAGTTTGCTAATGAGGGAGCAAGTCGGGAGGATTCAGACCCCAGGGCCACCCTGACCCTGGATGGACTCGGGGACTCCCAGTGTTGACGAGTGCGCTTGGGAGCTGACGGTGAGGCGGACGGGCGGCCCTCACAGTGCAACCCGTGTCCTCCAACCCCCTGAAGAGGGCAGAGAGGCCGTTCCAGGGACAGGCCCCAGAGCATGGAGCCGGGAAGGAGCTTTTGTTTTTACAGGAAGGTGAATCAATGTTTCCCTGAATACTGAAATAGGAAAGTTTGTTCAAATTGCAGAAGCCTAAAGTTTAACATTAATTTTATGCTCATGAATGCACTTGCTACGAAAGGCTGAAATTTAAAAAAATTAATAAGAAAATTAAAAAAAAAAGCAATAAGAAAACAGATCAATAAAGAAAAACTATTAGTAAAGTCCAAGCCAAAGTCTGTTTTTTGAAAAGACTAAAATCAGGTGAAACTGTTTCTGTCGCCTTTTTTTACGGCTATGATTTTTAGAAGGTGAGCCTGGAACCCGTAGAGCGTGTGGCCAGGGAAGCAGGGGGCGGTCACAGAGTCTGAGGCCACTGGGGGTGGGGGGGGTTGTGGACAGCGGAGAGACATCCTTAGGTTCTGAATGAGGAAGGGAGGAAGGGAGGCTGGAAACTCCCAGCTCACAGTCATGTCTCCCGATACGTTTGGCGTGGTACGTATCTTAGGTGACAGGTGACGGCGGCAAACACCAGCCTGTTCCCAGGAGCCAAAAGTAAAGGAAGGTCGTGTTTTGCGTCCTGCTCCAGTCCCATGTGTGCTCTGAAGCTTTCTGGCTGAAAGCAAGAATCCTGCTACATTCCTTATCTGAATGATCCTATTAACTGTATTTAATTATGACCTGAAGTCGCAAACAGCCACACTTGGAGTGGGAGAGCAGCTCACTAGCAACGTGAGAAAGACAGACCCCTCCTTGGCAGGACTGGGCCTCTGCGGGTCCTGCAGACCCTACCTTTGCTGGGGCCCTCCTTCAGCTTGAAGGTGATCCACTCCATGGCTCGGGCAGAGATTTTGGTTCCAAAGTTTCTATCAAATGGTGAAGGTGTTCCCCCCTGTTGGTGGGTAGTTACGGGAGACATTAGCTACACAACACTTTATTTGAAGAAATTAAATACAAGTGAAAATTTCTACTTAACAGAATTCATATTTTTTAAGAGAGTGAAATTTGCAAATATGGTTTGGTTTTGTCTTATTTTTGCATATTTCTATCTTCTTGTGTATATCTGAGATAGACCAGAACAAAACTAAAATCTGGGACCGCCGCAGCCTGAACTCAGCCCGGTAAGCACCACGGGCTTCTCCCCTTGCTGAGACCAGGCTTAGCCAGCGACACATGCCTCAGTCTCAATCACTTTAGGGTCATGGCGACCAGGTGTCACAGTTCCCTGTAAGGGCCTAGCAGCCCACAGGTCACCTTCACAGGAGGGAACGTGCTCTCAGCAGACCTGGTCGGGGATGCCCCAGCCCTTTGGGGTAAATTAGGGGCCTAGATTAAAAGTTCCTCACCCTGCAAGCACGCAGAGGTCACTACAGAAAGGAACTCCCTAGAGAGCCAGGAGCCAGCCCACTCCTCGGCTCATACCCTATCCGAGCCAGGGTGACCCCACAGTTCACTCCCCTCCCTCTCGGCCCCACTTTGTCAAGTGTTACCTGCCGGCCACTCTACTTTAAATCTTACAAAGCCCTCGTATTGAATTTAATGAAGTATTTAAGCAAGAATTCAACTGTGAATAAGCGTTCCCAGTCCACTGGTGTCACTATTTACACAAAACCTGAGTTTTCCTTCAAATCCCCCACACCCAAATACCCCAACCAGAAAGATCCCTAAAGCTGGTAATACCTGGTGTGACCTAAAACTTCAGACATTTCAATTATCTCAGGATTCACTTAGCATATATTTTTTCTCTAAAAAGCACTGTTGTGGCACCCGGCTGCCACACATGGCACATGGCCCGCTGATGCTACACTTGGCCCCTGTAGCCGCTGCCTGCTGCACGTGGCCCAGCACGTTCCTATAGCCCCTCCTGCTGCACCTGCCCCCGCCTGCTGCACATGGCCCAACATGTTCCTATAGCCCCACCTGCCGCACCTGCCCCTCCTGCTGCATGTGGCCTAGCACGTTCCTATAGCCCCACCTGCCGCACCTGCCCCCACCTGCTGCATGTGGCCCAGCACGTTCCTGTAGCCCCTCCTGCCACACCTGCCCCCACCTGTTGCAGGTGGCCCAGCACGTTCCTGTAGCCCCACCTGCTGCACCTGCCCCCACCTGCAGCACTGCCCCCACCGGCTGCACGTGGCCTAGCACGTTCCTATAGCCCCACCTGCCGCACCTGCCCCCACCTGCTGCACGTGGCCCAGCACATTCCTGTAGCCCCTCCTGCTGCACCTGCCCCCACCTGTTGCATGTGGCCCAGCACGTTCCTGTAGCCCCACCTGCTGCACCTGCCCCCACCTGCTGCACGTGGCCCAACATGTTCCTATAGCCCCACCTGCTGCACGTGGCCCAGCACGTTCCTGTAGCCCCTCCTGCCGCACCTGCCCCCGCCTG